ACTGTTGCTTTTGTCTGATATCCTATCTAACACTATCCCTTTTCCAAATGCATCGCAAGCACGCACCCATCTTAGCTGAAGCCATAGCAAGCACACATCCATTTTAGCTGAAGCAAAATTCTTTGCTAAATTACTTATTACACCTTTATTTGTAATTTGCGTTATGAAATACATGAAACACAATTCCGTCAAAAACCAAAGTCCCCTCAAAGTATTTTACTGATTCTAGGCTATTTTCTTAGAAGCATTGGGTGTAGGGGAAAAGCAAGTTCTTTCAAAACACTTAGAGCATTTAAATCCAGTTTGGTAAAAGCATCCACTGCAGCTAGTGAATTGAATGGATTATTTTTTATTATTTTCTCCGTGTTTCAAGAATTTAAAACGAGACACCAGGTCCTGCCTGGAGTTTTGGCACATGCCCACTCCGCCCCCCCCTCTGCCCGAATTACAATTCCCATCAGACCCCGCGGCGCAGCTGGAGGTGGAGTCCCAGTCCCAGTCCCCAGTGCATTATCGGAGCCCTCGTCCCGCTCTCCTGAGTGTGTCTCTTTCCATCTTCATGGGCAGGGCACCCAAGTGGTTGTGCAGGAGGTTTTGCTGGGGCCTGGCTGTTGTCGCTCTACTTGGCTGGCACTTCGACGTGTGCGATTTAAGAGTAGAAACGAGCTTGTGTTGTTTTCTTGCCCCTTTGAGCACTGTGGGACAGGCAAGATGTGGTCGCTGGGTAGGTTTTACAGCAGTGAAGTCTATGTTCACCCACTTCACCCTCTGCTGTCTACTAGGTAACAGCCTGAGCTCACAGCTGGTTTAAAATGCTAAGTTGTGAAGATCTTGTGTGCCTGAAGTTTTGCGTTTCAAATCATTGTCTTTACAGAAAGTGGCAGAAAGATTCAATTCATCCTTTGATCATGAACTTGTCTTTTTTGCAGCATTAGAGTTTTTATCTACACATAATTAGTGCTGTCTGCTTCTAAGGCCTTCCTCCCCAGCGTAGTTCAGGGTGGTGTTTGCTGTGTGCAGTGTATGTAACTGAGATGCTGGTATGGTAGAAGCATAAAGAAGGACATGCTAGAAAGAAATACCTTTTAAAGTTATAAGGCTGGGTCCTTTTCCATCAGGTTGCTTAGATAGCTTTAGACAATAATTTATGTTTCCTCAGTGTTGAACTTCCATGTGTTCAATTATTACCAGTCATAATCTAATCTTTCGGTGCCACCTGAGAGCACTCCGTTTATCTCCCCCATTTGTGACCTTCTTTTCAGTGGTAGAAATTGTGCTCTGCAGGGCTCACACCTGCATGCTGTAGTAACCCTTTCTCCCCCACTAGCCCATAGAGACTGTTCCTCATGATCGTGGTTTGGGCAGTTTTATCCCATGCTGCTTTAATGCAGTTTTCACCAGCTGCCCAAATACCCGTATAACATCACTTGGACCATTAGTGTGTCTGTAGCAAACAGGTCATATGAATAAAACCATAAAATTTTATCACCTGGAGATAAGCAGGTGTCCAGATAAGTGAAGGAGATTAAAAGGGAAATTGTTTTCTAAACTACAGAGGGCGTTTGAAGAAGAGGCAAAGGAAGCTCTCTCCCCTTTTTCTACCCATGCCTTTACTGGTGTAGTAGGAATTATTCTTCAGAAATATAGAGTTTGCAGCACTTTGTTTCTCACATCTATCAGCTATTTTCTGTTGTTTCACTTGACCGTTTACTCTTTTTTTTTTTTTTTTTTCCCTTCTCTGGCAGGTTACTTTATGGCTAAAGAAAATATATGGGAATGAGCCTATTCCAGAGTACGAAGTGAATGCAAGGACAGTTGATATCTTGTATGACCTTGTAGAATGCAATGAAGCCAGAGACAGGGATGTTTCTTTGCTGATAGAGGACATGAAGCAGAAGGCAACAGAATACGAAGCAGAAAGTGAGTTTGAAGCTCCACTTCTCAGTTCCATCAAAGTTAGTTTTTCTTAGTGACTCTGAAGATTGTCTCTGTTAAAATCTTGCAAACATGTATATATATGAATAAATATATATATTTAATTGGAACGAACTCAACTTTTGTTCTGATACAGCTTTTACTACAATGCATCTCATGCCGTCTATTCAGCAAAATTTACGGTGATGTAAGGTTGATCAAGAGCAATTTTTTTAAGCTGTCTTGAGCAGGCTGTAAATACGGACAAGCAGATTAATTGCTAAAACCTCCTAGCCTGCTGGGCTGAGTAGCACAGCATTGAAATATTGGCTGGATAGGCAGGGAAGCAATCCTACAGCTGATTTAAGAGTCTGAGCTGGTGCTAATCCACATTAAGGAAAGTGCTTGAGGAATCTGAAACAACAGTGAGGTGATTAAGTTATGCTTGAACTGGCTGGAGTGAGTGTTTGATAATGTGCTTTTTTTTGGAGCGAGTGGTTCAGGGAACCGTAATACATTTTTAACACGTGTTAAAAGAGAGAGTCCCATCTAGGCCTTAAAAGAACAGTAATATTAAAAAAATACTATTTTTGGTTGTATTTGTTTTCCAGCTACAGGGCATTCTGGCAGAAAGCCTGGATCTTTCCCCATCCATTCTGTCCAGCGAAGGCACCAGCTACCTCAATGTCCTGGTAAACAGCGCAGTGATACTTGAAACAAAGGATACTTCTCTTGCCAGGTAATTTTTCCCACTGTGCATCAGGGGTGATGGTCTGTGCTGTTTCCCTCTGTTTTTTCAATTCAACAATTTCAAACTTGACTTTCACACCAGGAATCTTACTTGTCCAGTTTATTTTGCACCCCTTGGGCAGCTTTGGAGTACATAGGAACTGAGCACAAAGCTCTAGCTCTTGATTATCCCAGCCAAGGAAGTCTCTGAAGCCTGAGAAGTGCTTCAGCCAGAGTTAAATCCGTCTCTTTTGCCCCTGCTTTCATGGTCAGTGGCTGCAGGATGCTGCCACTCAGACTGTTTTGCCAGGTAGCATGAGCTAGAGCAGGTTTCATACTGCTTAGGAGAGGACTGGGGAACTGTAACTGGTCTTTCAGTCTCAGCTTCTCACTCTTCCCTCTCTTACCTGGCCTCAGTTAATGTAAGGAGATTCCCTTAGCTCAGCCACAGAAAAATGGCAGCTGTTAGTCTGCTCTTCCTGGGCCCCTCTCCCTAGTCTGGCTTTGACCCATGATACATCAGGTTTGTGCTGAGCACTGGCCTTAAGGAAGGGCCGAAATCGGCCTTGGAATCCAATTTTCGTATGATGTTCTGGAGCTTGGCTCTTACAGCTCTTCTCCTGAGATAGAGGGGCAAGCAGCTTTGAACCATTTGGGAAGAGGAAAAGACTGAAATACTACTGGGCACGCCTTGGGGACGTGCATTTTCAGGGACTGAATACAATTTCTCTCAAAGGCAATTTGGCAAGCCAGGAGTGGAGCATATGATGATTTCAAACCCAGTGGTTATATTCATTAGAGTGCCAGGTGTTGTTCACTTCCTCCTACTGAGATTGCTGTGCCGTTTCCCTTTCCAGATGAAATCTTTGGTAGTTAAGGGAAGCAAATACCCTTAGCGACTTATTTTAATTTCCTCCTATCATAATATGAGAACAAAACCAAGTCATTTGTGTAAAGTGTGGAGAAAATAATAATTCCAAATTTCAGAAGAGCTGACTCCTGAGCATTCCCACTGAATCTCTATCTTCACCAGCTTCTTCTGCACCATCAATGATATGACTTTGGAGCTGTATGCAACAGAATCAAAAAACAGGGAAATTGAACTGGAATTGAGCAACATCAGGAAAAAAATAACTGCAGCGCTGCTGCTGGAAAAGTGGTTAGAGGAGTGAGTAATGGATGAGAAAAGGGAAAGATGTAAGCAGTACTGCTGATCTCTGCAATGTGGAACGTTGGTTGTGATAACTAACAAGGACAACTGAATTTTCAGGGTTTTGACACATCTCTAACTCAAATATTTGGAAGTATCTATAAAAAACCATGTGCTATGGACACATTCAATAATCAAAAGAGTTTTGGGGTACCATCATCAAATCTGTTATTTTAAACCAAAAATGGTCTACAAGCACTTTTCAGATATGGGCTGGTATCTTCCACTGGATGCCTTCAGCTGAGGTTGAAGGCAAACCTGATCTTCTTACCACATCTAGTGTGGGCTCTGTAGTCGGAGTGAAGGAGATAGGCAAAACAAAAATGTTCCCAGGTAAGAATTTCCTTTAACCAGTGTGTGGGAGACTTAAAAAAAAAAACAACAAAAAAACAATCGGTATCAAGTCCATTCCTGAGAGGGTGTAATCTGAAGTGCTTTGCCAAGCACAGCAGGATCAATCCCTGCCTTGAGTGGAGATTGGCCCAGATGATCTCCACAGCCCCCTTCAAGTCTAATTATTTTCTGGTTTTTGTCTTTTAAAGTAGTAATTGTGGCGCTGCTTGTAGCAGAGATACCAGACCTGTGTGCTTTGTACAGGTTTGCCATGGCCCTTTGTGAGGATTAAGGCACAGACTCCGATATGCAGGATCGAAATCTACTTTATTAAGCAAGCGTGCTCTTTATATACTTTTCTACCAAGGCCAGTAATTTTCTACTTTACTTGTTTACGCCATCACATACTCTAAAAGATCATGTTCCCACTGAGAAGGGAATCTCTCTTCCCTGTGAGCAGCACCTCCTTATCTAGGGAGTAGCTTCACACAACTTCATCCTCTGCCAAAACAGTGCTGCAGCTGCTTATTCCTCCCTATTAGTTCTACCACACTTAACCCTTCTTTTGCCTCAGACCCCGACAATTCCCCCTTTTTTGTTTGTTGAACAATTAGCACTGTGTTTATTGATTTTTCCACCATTCTCTGCGTACATTGTAAAAGGCATGGTAAAAAGCACAGTTCTGCAAAGCAGCATGTCTAACCAAATCTACATCCATTAATAAGCTAGATAGAGCCAGCGACATGGCATTGCTGTGTTTGGTAAGCCAGCATCCTAATTTATTCAATGTGGCTAAAGCTTGCGAAGCAGCAACTCCTGGTGCAAGTATAGAGGCCATAATTATTTCTCCTTTACTCCACATTATCGTTGCTTTCGCTCTGAAAGGCGTGGGCCAATCATTTGGTGCATCGATGATGCTTTATAAAATTCAGAATCATTGATGTATTTGGGGTCAACAGCGTAAGTCTTCCCAGACTACAGGGCCCTCCCCTTATATGTGAGGGTATACCTCCCCAAGCTCGATCACCACAGATAAAGAAGAGCCTCTGCGGGAGCTGTAAAGGCACATTGCTGGAGTGGGAGACAGTACTGCTGGTATAGTTGCACCAGGCCGTGTTATTTCTATATATCGACAGAGAAGAATTAACATTCTATGCTATAGATTGATTCTGGCCAGTATAATTAAACATTAGACGGCTATCCATTTTAATTGAGCCTAGGAGTTCAATCTCCTGTGGCTCGTGGGGCAGGGGTGGCAAGTAAGGAGCCCACCCATCCCAGTTATCAGCCAAAGCCGATGAGTTTCCTAAATGCTTTGCTTGTTCATGGCTTGGCCAGTTGTCTGCTGGGACACTGAGTAGACATGTTGAAAACGAGTTTCCTGGGGTAGCCAGCGAAAGGCACAGGATGTCCTGGATGGTCTTGTTTGCCAAAGTTACCCAGATGTTTT